GATGTGATTTAAAGATGGTAGAGTCCCCATTACCCAGATCCCAAGCATCCAGAATTCTCTTTTTCTATCTCAGATGCTGGTTGAATGAGAATTCTGGATGCTTGCAATCCTGATAACAGGGATTTTACTGTAGTTAAGAAGAAGAAGAAATGACCATTTCCAAAAGATGCATCTTTTTTAACAGCAACAATGAGGACAAATCAAGAAAAAATAACTAATAAGTTAAAATTAAATGTTATCTGAATCCATGAAGTGTTCCCAAGATGATAGACAAATTAGTGGCACAAATAGAGATACATAGATTTGGTCTAATCAGCATTACAGAAAACATGGTTGTTTTCAACCCTGCCAGTCTCAGCATTCAACAGACCATCCTTCCTTAGTTCTGCCACCTGTGTGATGCCAACACCAAAAACGTCTTCTCTCCCATTGTCTGTCAGCATTCCAAAGGGGCTGTTCCCTCCATGATGCCCGGTCTGTTTCACCATCTGCTCAGTACTCCTCCCATTGCTACAGAACATGTCCATGCATGCACAGAAGGTGCAAGATCCACCCTTTCACCTCCTACTTTGTCACCATTCAAGGCCCTAAATACTTCCTGATGAAATAGTGATTTGCTTATACTTCTGTACTTGTATTTCTCTGTATTTGCTGCTCACATTGTAGGCTCTTCTGTATTGGAGAGATCAAAGCAGTTTGTATGGTCGCTTTGCCGAACATCCGTATGTAGCCCACAAGAGTGACTCCAAGCTTCTGGTCCACTGAATTCTCCATCCCTCTCCCACTCCAATCTTTCTGTCCGTTGTCTTCTATGCTGTCCTAATGCAGCTCATTGTAAGCTTGAGGGACAGCACTTTGTCATTTTGAACCCTGAAGCCATTCACTCTCTGGTATAATGATTTCATATCATAGCCTGTACCCCTGTTCTGTTTTTTCTTTGGTTCAACGGTGTCTTTGGTAATGACTATGTTTCCCACTTACATTTCCGAAAGATGCATCTTTCTTAACAGCAACAATAACATGCATAGGTAGTCCTTGATTTACAAACGTCCAATGTGTGAATGCTCGTACTTATGAACATGATCTCATACAGGGGTGTAATTTTAAATACCCAGCATACAAAGAAATTCTGTACTCATATCAGCTCCTTTGCATTGTCTGGCATTGTGTTCTGACTTGCGTACAAACTGATTTCCAAACAGACTCCACAACAGAACCCAATCACAAACCGGGGACTGCATGTATTTACATAGGACCTTTAACATGAGTCATTCCAAGAGGCTTCACAGCAGCATGAAAGAAAGAAGTATGACAATGAGCCCTATAAGTAGATGTTAAGCAAGATGATCAAAAACTTAGGTGAAAAGGAGGAATGTGAGGTTGAGAAGCAGAGATATAGGGAGGAAATCCCTCTGCCCAGGACCTTGGTAAATGAAGCCATGGCCAACAATGAATTTGAAGAACACACACTTATCGGAAAATTGTGGAACTGGAAAAGATTACACAAAGAGGAAGGGAAACACCATGGAAACAAGTATGACAATTGTAAAGACATCACTTGACTGGGAGCTAATGTAAGTAAAGCAAGCACAGGGATCATCAGGGAATAGGATTTGCTGTGAGCTCAGAAACAGGCAGCTGGGTTTTGGGTGAACTCAGATTTTCAGAGTGTAGAATATTAGAGATCAGTTCCGAAAAAATATTTCCTTTTATCACCGCTGCTAATGCCCGTGACCCACAACTTTAGAAACACATCTGACTATTTTTTGAGCAATGCATTCAACTTTCTGAGCTGTTTTCCCTACCTTAACTATTGGTGCCACTTTCTTGATCTTTCGATTTAGCCTTGGACAATATTTCTTCTTCAGCCATATATCCAATTCCCTTTTGGAAGTTACGACTGAATATGCTTCCACCACTTTCTAGTAGTGTGTATTTTTAAAAATTCTCCTCACCTTTACTATATTCCTGTTGCCAATTATTTAAACTTGTGCCTCCTGGCTACCAATCCCCCAGGAAGTAGAATCAATTTCTTATTATTCTTGTGCATTCTCTGTTATATGTTTTATTATAAATTGGCTGTGTAACTTTTGTAATGTTTGTTTTACTATTTACTCTTATTTAGAAAATATAAACTCTAGTTTATAGCCTACACCACAGTTGATTCAAACAGTTTTTGAAGTTCAGCAGTTTCCAAAAAAAACTCAATATATTGAAATAAACTGAGAAATTAAACTTTCTGGCTAATTCCTGAGTATCTTACAGCCCCCACTTATTCTCTCTTCAATGCTCTTCCATCAGGAAGAATATACAAAAATTTGAAAACACATACCAACAGAGTCAAGAACAGCTTCTTCCCTGCCGTATCCAACTTATGAACAGATCTGTGATATAATCAGAGTTGATCTTCCTCTGCACCTTCTCTGTAGCTGTAACACAATATTCTGCATTCTGTTCTCCCTGATGTATTTGTGTAAGGTATGATTTGCCTGGATAGCATACAAAACAATATTTCTCACTGTATCAGGATGGTGTCAAGTTTCTTGAGTTGTTGGGGCTGCATTCATCCAGGCAAGTGGGAAGTATTCCATCACACTCCTGACTTGTGCCTCGTAGATGGTGGACAGACTTTGAGGAGTCAGGAGATGAGTTACTCGCCGCAGTATTCCCAGCTTCCGGCGTGCTCTTGTAGCCACTGTGCTAATGTGGCGAGTCCAGTTGAGTTTCTGGTCGATGGTAACCCCCAGGATGTTTCGATTCACTCCACGTGATATCAAGAAACGGTTGGAGACACTGGATACTGTAAAGGCTACGGGCCCTGACAACATTCCGGCAATAGTACTGAAGATTTGTGCTCCAGAACTTGCCACTCCCTTAGCCAAGCTGTTCCAGTACAGTTACAACACTGGTATCTACCCAACAATGTGGAAAATTGCCCAAGTGTGTCCCGTACATAAAAAGCAGGATAAATCCAACCCGGCCAATTACCACCCCATCAGTCTCCTCTCGATCATCAGTAAAGTGACGGAAGGTGTCATCAACAGTGCTATCAGGCAGCACCTGCTCAGCAATAACCTGCTCAGTGATGCCCAGTTTGGGTTCCACCAGGGCCACTCAGTTCCTGATTTCATTACAGCCTTGGTTCAAACATGGACAAAAGAGCTGAATTTCAGAGGTGAGGTGAGAGTGACAGCCCTTGATATCAAGGCTGCATTCGACCGAGTGTGGCATCAAGGAGCCCTAGCAAAACTGGAATCATTGGGTATCAGGGGGCAAACTCTCCAGTGGTTGGAGTCATACCCGACACATAGGAAGATGGTCGTGGGTGTGGGAGGTCAATCGTCTCAGCTCCAGGACATGTCTGCAGGAGTTCCTCAGGGTAGTGTCCTAGGCCCAGCCATCTTCAGCTGCTTAATCAATGACCTTCCCTCCATCATAAGGTCAGAGGTGGGGCTGTTTGCCAATGTTTGCACAATGTTCAGCCCCATTCATGACTCCTCAGATACTGAAGCAGTCCATGTTCACATGCAACAAGATCTGGACAATATCCAGGATTGGGCTGACAAGTGGCAAGTGTCATTCACGCCACACAAATGCCAGGCTATGACCATCACCAATAAGAGACAATCTAACCACTGTCCATTGACATTCAATGGTGTTACCATCACTGAATTCCCCACTATCAACATCCTGGGGGTTACCATTGACCAGAAACTCAACTGGACTCACCACATTAACAGAGTGGCTACAAGAGCAGGCCGGAAGCTGGGAATACTGCGGCGTGTAACTCATCTCCTGACTCCTCAAAGCCTGTCCACCATCTACAAGGCACAAGTCAGGAGTGTGATGGAATATTCCCCACTTGCCTGAGAAGCAACTCAAGAAGCTTGACAACATCCAGGACAAAGCAGCCCGCTTGATTGGCACAACATCCACAAGCATTCACTCCCTCCACTACCGCAGTTCAGTAGCATCAGTGTGTACTATCTACAAGATGCACTACAGAAATTCACCAAAGATCCTCAGACAGCACCTTCCAAACCCACGACCACTTTTATCTAGAAGGACAAGGGCAGCAGATATTTGGGAACACCACCACCTCCAAGTTCTCCTCCAAGTCACTCACCATCTTGACTTAGAAATATATCGCCATTCCTTCACTGTCGTTCGGTCAAAATCCTGGAATTCCCTCCCTAATAGCATTGTGGGTCAACCTACAGCAGGAGGTATGCAGCGGTTCAAGAAGGCAGCTCACCGCTAGCTTCTCAAGGGCAACTAGGGATGGGCAAGAAATGAGGGCCACCCAGCGATGCCCACATCCCACAAAATCAATCGAAAAAAAAGTCTTGATATATGTGAATATGAAACCAATTCAAATCAAATCATTAGATACTTTTATATTTTTAAGTCATAATCAATTAATTATAGTGAATGAGGTTGAGTGTATGGGGAAGATGCTGATGGTGAAAAAATAGGTAAAGATTTCAACAAAGGACCATGAAATCCACCTGAATTATATAATCTTTTGTTTGGGTGATTGTAAATCTGGACAGTGGAAGATAAATGCTGCTGTTGAACCAATTAGAAAGCAAATATTATGCTGTGCACTACTAGAATTATTTTCAGTTGATCACAAATCTCAAATGTTTCACTTAGAACAGTTGGAGAGTTATTTTGGAAGCATATTGTTGTCACCTTGAGTAGATTTGTTGTTCTTTTTGCCTCAAAAAGATTGCCACAGTCAGCAAGTGTATAAAGCATCGTGAAATAAAGTATCAAGGTATGCAGGCAGTTGAACCAGAGATATTTCCCCTGGGCATTTCCTATCGCATTATGGAGATGGCATTAATCAAAAAGTAGAATAGTGGGAGTCTGAAATAGAAACAAAACATGCTGGATGTACTCAGCAGGCACAGTAGCATCTGCAAGAGGTTCCACATTTTGGCTGCAATTCCTGTATTATCAGTTGATTGATACTTACCTTGTGTTTTCCCATCAAGATTGAAAGGCGAGAACTCTGAGATCAAGATTCACGGCTGAACTCCCATTATTCTGGACACAGTAAGTCCCTGCATAACGTTGCCCTGTTTTAAGACATTTTTCTTTAATGTCACAGATATGATAGGGCCAGAGTGTATACTTAACAACAGAATATCTGTCATTGTGTTTCTTGCATCAGGTGGATGGAGCATGTGTGAACTGAGCAGCCCCTCTGGCTCACTGAGCCATCCACTCCCTGATCATCCCACAAGCTGAAACCCTCTTTCCGGATCTCTCTGCTGGCTGCCCACCCAGCTCTGTGAAATTCCCAGTCTTTCATCTTCTGGCTTGCCAACAGTCTCACTCATTCCTGCTGTGTCACTGCTGTATCCTCTTGTTCACGGCCTCTCTTCCTGACGGTCCCAAGCACAAACCCTTAAATGCCCCTCTCCATAAACATTGCTCACACTGAAGGGAAGGGATGGAGCGCCGGACAGAGCACAACTGAAAAAGCATAAGAGGATTAGGGAATAGAATGACCAGGAGGGTCAACAGGTGGGAGGTTTGGCAAGTGGGATGGACAGAGAGCAGGATGGACAGTGAGGGAGATGGACAGTGAGGGAGATGGACAGTGAGGG